CCCTGTATACAGTGTAGGAAAGTACCGATGGTCTATCAGAAGTTACGTGAGAGCGACAAAGTAAGCCATAGAAATCCATGTGATAGACAAGGATGGCTATAATGAAGGCGTATAATAGTCAACGCCCATTTCGCCCTTCCACAAATAAGAAGTGGATCTTATTTGTGGAAGGGCGAAACGGGCGGTGCGTATGAGACGCCTTCATTATAGCCATCCTTCTCTATCACATGGATTTCTATGGCTTACTTTATCGCTCTCACGTAACTTCAGATAGACCACCGGTACTTTCCTACCCTGTGTATACGAAGAGACCAAAAATTAAATTTAAATTGAAAAAAATTCTAATTTTTATACAATTTTCAAGAAACTATTTTCCATTGGTAAAATTATAGTATGGGATGTAAACTACCCACACATAAAATTTCATACATTTTCAAAAAATCGTATGAAATCCATGTCAGGCAAAAAAAAATAATATTATAGAAAAATTTTTAACTTTTGGACAATTTCTACTGAAAGAATTTGGAATGGGAAAGTAGATTACCCTCATGTAAAATTTCATGGATTTGCAAAAGATCTATAGAATACTAAAAAAGCAAAAACTGTAAATTTAAATGGGAAAAAAGTAACTCTCAGATAATTTTCAAAAAACGATTTTACATTTGTAAAATTATAATTTGGGATGTAAACTACCCTCACTTAAAATTTCATGCACTTTCAAAAAATTCTTGGAGTTCTTAGCAAACAAAAAACCAAATTTAAATACTTATAGAAAAGTATGAAGCCTTTAGACAACTTTCGCGAAAGGATTTATGACTACCCTTATATAAACTTTCATAAGTTTGCAAAACGTCTATGATTTATTAAAGCAGCAAAAAAACGTAAAATTTAAATGGAAAAAAATTAATGAAACAATTTTCAAAATACTATTTTTCCATTGGCAAAATTATTGTTTGGAATATAGGCTACCTACGTAAAATTTTATGCATTTTCAGAGGATCCCTAGGGAGTGGTATTAAACAAAAAGCTGTAATTTTATATATAGAACAATTTCTAAATTTGTCAAAAATTTCGGGAAAAGAATTATGAATGAAGATGTAGACTAACCTTATGTAAAGTTTCATGATATGCAAAAGATCTATGGAATATTAATAGAAAAAAATCTAACTTAGACAATTTTCAAGAAATGATTTTCCATTTCTAAAATTATAGTTTGGGATGTCAGCTAGCCTCAAATATATTTTCATGCAAATAAAAAATCCCTGGATTCCATATCAATCATTCGAGAAAAAAGTTACGTATAATGAAGTAAACTACCCTTACGTAAAGTTCAATAGAAGTTTATATATATACTGAGGGACGAAAAACTGTACATTTAAATGAAAAAAAATTCTAACTTTGACAATATTTTCAGAAAACGATTTTCAATTGATAAAATTATAGTTTAGGTTTAGAGTAAGGTATCCTCACATATAATTTTATGCACTTTCAGAGGATCCCTAGGAGTTGTAACAAGCAAAAAGCTGTAAATCTATCAAATTTTATGTGAAGATACTCTATGTCCCTAACCATAATGGAAAATTATTTACTAAAAATCGCTTTAAGAGTTGCAGTCCATAATATTATATTCGACATTAAATTATGTCTCAACATGTAATACTGCTAAAAGAAATAATTCCTTAAAGTAATGCAACTATTAGAATTTTTTTCTCTTATTTGTTTGACTATTCATAGTCCTATCAAATCTGAAGAATCCTCTTTAATTACATGTAATATTCTTAAACAGAAGCTCACCATACCAAATAAAATTTATTTCTCAAAAATCTTTAATCGTTATATCTTTTTCACTTGAAACCATTTGAAATCTATGCTTTGTGACTTTTTCAAATGTTATCCAAAAATATCTTACATCTCTGCAAACAACCATACCCAATTACAAATTTATCAATTTGTGATGAGAATACTACGAGATATTGTCATTAAAAATTACAAGTTATTTGAAATACTTATATTGTTCTCCGATACATTTCGTTTTAAAAACATGTAACAGATATACCTTTTTTGCAGCAAATATTGTGATGTTTCATAAAACACTTGCATTTTCCCAAATCATTAGAAAACAATTCTTGAATTTCTTACATATGTATACTAAGTGGTCAATTTCAATTAGGATGCAAGGTACGAGCTATACATTGATGGAATAGCTAATATAGATGATACAGCCCAGTATTTGAGGGGTGTTCTAATTAAACTTCATCGTTTTACTAAATTTACACTTTAATTAACTGTATAATTTTCATTTTAGATCAATTTACTTATTCAAAAATTTATACATACCGTGATGTAAATTTTTTTTACACTAAACTTCTAATAAAATAACTACATGTACATGTTAACATACAAAGTGACAAGTTGATTTATATCGTACAAATTACATTACAATTACAATTACAATGGAATATCTTCATATTCCTATGACTCTAAAATAACAAATATGCTTACATTTATCTATGACAATCCCAGAAACCTCATTATAGCAATTTTCTTTGAAATACTTTAAAAAGTTGAATAAGTTATTTTTAATACAATTAAATAAAATTTGTTTTGAAAGAAAAATTATACTAAAGTAACTTAATAAAATCGGTTTATATACTATGGAAACGTTTTATTTTTTCTTATTTAATTCTATTACAAAACAAAGCTTAAGTTTACCGATCAAAATTTTCCAACTCCAATATACAGAGTAATTCAGGTTTCAATCTGGATAACTTCAGAAATCGATAGAACAGGTTAAAATAATGTTCATTCATGATATAAACTTTTTTCTTAAATCGCATCATTTCGGTGATAAGGAGCTTTGAAGTAGAATTATTTTTCCCCATTTCTTAGCACTAAAAATACTTTTGAAATAATACTTTTAACGGTGATTTTCACAAATGTCAGTTTATACAAATCAGTATGAATTTTATTTCTCATGGGTTGCTAGAACGTTAAATAAAATTTCATTGAATATCCCAGAAACAAGGCTAAATATCGAAAAAAAAACAAGAGACGGAACAGTTTTAAAATTGACAATACAAAAGTAGTATGCAGCTATTTTATTAAAATATATTTTTTTAAAGTGTTGAAATAATGTATGGAGGGGATAGCACACAAAATACACTTCTAAGAGGAGTAAGTGATTCAAACTTAAGAAGCTTATTTTATTTATTAGTTTTATTTTATTTTATTTAATACACTGTTCAACAGTTACTACCCAATTATAGAACAGGGATTTCACAGACAATAATAAAAGAAGTACATTAATTACAAACAAAATTAAGAGGAACAAAACAAATTCTATACCATCATAAAAAAAGAAGGAAATAAATAAAATCTATACACTAAATAATACACATAAATGAAGATTAAAATAAATATTGGAAATAACCAGACTTTAAAATTGACAATACAAAAGTAGTAGGTATGCAGCTGTTTTATTAAAATTAATTTTTTTAAAGTTTTGAAATAATGTATGTAGGGGATAGCACACAAATACACTTCTAAGAGGGATAAGTGATTCAAACTTAAGAAGCTTATTTTATTTATAAGTTTTATTTTATTTTATTTTATTTAATACACTGTTCAACAGGTACTACCCAATTATAGAACAGGGATTTTACAGACAATAATAAAAGAAGTACATTAATTACAAACAAAATTAAAAGGAACAAAAAAAATTCTATACCATCATAAAAAAAGAAGGAAATAAATAAAATCTATACACTAAATAATACGCATAAATGAAGATTAAAATTACATATTGGAAATTACCAGACTTTAAAAATAAAGTATTTTTAAGTCATTAAGACTGCAGTCAAAAATATCTACAAAATTTTTATTACAGTTGAAGATTTCATAAAGTGGTGAATGTTTGAGTACATTAGAACGAGGAGTTGGTAAATAAAACGTAAGATCATAAGGAGTGTTTGTGTTCTGAATTTCACCTAAATCTGATGAATAATTCAACAGTTATAAGGGAAAAACGAAAAAAAAAATCTGTTTCAACACCCTCTACCTACGAAACGATGCAATTTAAGAAAAAAGTTTATATCATGAATAAAAATTATTTTAACCCTTTATATCGATTAAACCTGAATCAGCCTGTATAATTCTACTAAATAGAAATTGTCCCCTTAAAGTAATACAAGGATTAGAATTTTTTTCACTTATTTCTCTGACTATTCTTGATCCCATCAAATCTAAAGAATCCACTCTAATTGAACGAAATATTATTAAACAGAAGCTCGCCATACTAAATAAATGTATTTTTCAAAAATTCAATCATTATTTCATTTTCACTTTAAATCGTTTGAAATGTATATATATCTCCTTGCGACTTTTTCAATTATTATCCAAAAATATCTTACATTTTTATAAACAATCTTACCAAATTATTTTTTTATTTCATATACAAATTTATTAATCTATGATGAAACTACTACTAGGAATTGCTACTAAAAATTAAAACAAATTTGAAATATACTTTTCTCTGATACATTTTATTTTAAAAACATATAACAAATATTTTTATGCAGCAAATATTGTTTCATAAAACATCTGCATTTTCCGAAAATCATTAAAAAATATAGCGAAAAAAAAACAGAAAATATAAACATTCTGAACGACATTTATATTTTATATAAAAAATAAACTTATATTTTTCTCCGATCTCTCCAGAAACTCCATTATAACAATTTTCATTAAAATATGTATTAAAAAAAAATTAACCATATCAATTTTTCTAAGACATGCAACAATTATAATAAACCTAAACATTTCATATCGTTTTATAAAAATAATTAAACCGTTTTAAAATAATATATTGCATCCCATTAAATAAACACATCTATATACATTCTAGAATTTAATTTCTTTTAATAATAATTTTCCAATATATTTTAATGTTATAAATCAAAAACATTCTATTTAAACTATAATCAAAATTAACAATTTTTTAGCACCCACCCGTCTGTTAAAACGGAAGTTTTCGAGTGATTCTGAGGATGAACCGCCTCAAATCATCACTGTAGAAGTTATGATTCATCAGAATGCCGATGCTCATATCGAACAAAACTTCCCAGGACCTTCATCACCTATTGCAGCTTCTACACATTCTAATAACACTCCTGTACCAATTTTAACCCCACCAATGCCTCAAGATGTTATAGAAATTGGTTAGTCCTTTCATTAATTTATGTATTACTATTATTAATACTAAAATATTATAGAATAAATTAAATAACCATTAAAAAAAGTAATTTGCCTTTATAAATCATTATATTTATTTTAATCTTTTCTTTCCAGATGTAGAAAATATAGGTGATGGAATAATTCCTGAATTATCTCCATCTTTATTAGATGACCTCCAAAATGAATTTGCTGATTTACCATTTAACAATCGGAGACAAACAGCAAATCAAATGGATGCCGCCATAGGTGATATTCCCACGAGAGAAGACATTCAACAAGATATAGAACGTCTACGGAATATCGAAAATCACTTACCGACATACCTTCTGGCTAGCGAAAGAATTGTACCAGGCGGAACTTACAATTTAGGTCCACTCGATCAAATCTGTACTCATTGTTCTGCTTTCTATTTTCGTGTAGAATCCACAGTTCGTGGGCATTACACAAAATGCTGTCAACAAGGTAATGTAATTTTAGAAAATTTCCCACCTATGCCTGATGTTTTAGAAGCTCTTTTTCAAGGCTTGCATCCGTCTTCTGCCAACTTCAGAAGACATATATTATTATACAATTATAGTTTTCAGTTTGTATCTTTGGAGGCAAACCTAAGAGATCTCCCTGCAAGAGGTCCGTATGTGTTTTGTGTCAGAGGAAAAGTGTATCATCACATTTCCAATGTAAATATTAATGAGCCGTTGCAACGCTACGGACCTATTTATTTTCTAGATCCAGACGAAGCTATCGATGCCCGAGCACAAAATAATAATCAAGTCTTAGACAGACGATTAATTGTTCTTTTGGAACAATTGCTAAGAAATATAAATCCTTACGCTAGGGCATACATGCATCTACGAGAACGTTACAATTTAGAACTACAAACTATTGATAGACTTCGAACAGAAGCCGTTCGTAATAACGTAGTACCTCCCCCTTTACAAATGCCAAATGTAACATTAGAATTATTAAATGTTCGTGGAATGAACAGAAGGCAATATGACTTGCCTAGAGTGGAAGAAGTTGCAGCCGTGTACAATTTAATGCCAGATGCCCCAGCAACTCCTAATATGCGTATTTATGTACGCGACGAACCCACTAGATTCCAAAATGTCTCAGAGGAAAGTGAGCATAATGATCCGTTAGTATTTCCTCTGCTGTTTCCTCACGGAGAGTCGGGATGGTACATAGGAATTCCCCACAGAAACGGTAATCGCAATACAACATTATGCGAATATTATGCCTATCGTTTTGGAATTAGAAATAACGATACCAGACTTAAATATGGAGGCAGACTAACGCAACAATTTGCTGTCGCTGCATATATCAAAATCGAAAATAATCGCCTCAAATATATATTACGTAACCAAGAGAGGTTAAGAGTGACAGAATATGTTGGGTTGGCCGATTACCTACATCGTAGGGTCCAAGAAGGCAATGAGGATGACGATGCCGCAACATTGGGTAGAATGGTTATTTTACCATCAACTTTTGTCGGATCTCCGCGATACCAACAACAACTATTTCAGGACGCCATGGCAGTTGTTGGACGCTTTGGTATACCCAGCCTTTTCATTACGATGACAACCAATGCACGATGGACAGAAATAGTGGACAATATTCCCGCAGGTTATACTGCGAGCGACCACCCATCTCTCATGGATAGAGTATTCCAGTGCAAATTAAATGAAATGGTAGATGACATGCTGAAAAAGCACATTTTTGGGATACACGTAGCTAACCTCTACGTTATAGAATTCCAAAAAAGAGGGTTACCCCATTGTCATAATCTACTTATTCTAAGGGACCAAGATAAATTAACAGACCCTCGCAGAATTGATGCACTAATTAGTGCAGAAATACCAGATCCGCAATTAGAACCAGAACTATATGAAATAGTAACCTCTTTCATGGTACACGGCCCTTGCGGAGAATTAAACCCAGAGTCGGTTTGTATGGTGAATGGCCAATGTTCTAAAAAATATCCTAAAGAATTTAGTGAATTTACAGTAATATCAGAAAAAGGGCAAGTCATATACAAAAGACCAAACAATGGCAGAACTTTGACGATTAGAGCTAATAACAGAAATTGTATTTTAGACAATCGTTGGATAGTTCCTTATAATCCCTATATCCTACTAAAGTATAAATGCCATATTAATATAGAGGCTTGCGCTACTACCCAATGCGTTAAATACTTATATAAATACCTATTTAAAGGTGTAGATCTGGCATTAGTTCGCATTAACGTAGAAAATCAAGCGAATTATAATGAGGTAGAAAACTACTTGAACGCACGGTATATGACTCCTCCGGAGGCCTGTTGGCATATCAATCAATTTGAAACCCATAAAAATACCCACACCGTTTATCGGCTTTGCGTTCATTTACCTACTAGGCAAATGGTTCGTTTCCAACCTGGATTCGAAATACAAGCATTAGAAAATAATGAAATTACCCAACTAACGGCATGGTTTCTGTTAAATCAGAATGACCCCGACGCCCGACAATATCTGTACACCGACATTCCATATCATTACGTATGGAATAATAGAACTAAACGGTGGACGCGTCGCCAAAGGGGTGCTAATAAAATTGTAACACGAATGTACTCTGTGAGTATACGTAATCAAGAATTATATTATTTACGTTTGTTGTTGTTACATGTTCCTGGAGCAAGCTCTTACGAGGAGTTACGTGCACTAAACGGGGTTATTTACGACACCTTTAAAGAAGCCTGCCAGCACAGAAATTTATTGGCAGATGACGTTGAGTGGAAACGAAC